GGACATACAAAGCAACAAAGAAATCATCTTATAAATATGTTAGAAACAATTGCATGAAAGAAAAAACATTTGAATACTTATCTTGGGGTTCATTTCACCTAACATCAACTTACCTGACCGTTTCTGCTTGTCTCAGACATATACTAGTATACACCTCTTCTTTTCAAGACATTGACTAGACACAAGCTACAGCTGGTAACAGTTCCAAATGATGATAACCTGCTTATCAGTAGACACTTGCACTGGGTTTGCAGTTTTGATCTGTATCCCCACACATGTGACAGATCAATCAAATTGTCTGGAATAGTGAGTTCTCAAGAAGGAGTCTGAGAAGGTATGTCCAAACCTGGCCTGACTCTAATGTTATCATGCATCATGGGAAAATGAGCCTGATTCATTGCCCACTATCACCCTTTGAGCAACTCTGACCATGGAATTGCACACTATCCTTGAATAATGTGAATAATGAAGTGATCTCTCTAAGTTAGGGTTGGGAAAAGGTCATAGAGTCACTGCCTATGGAAGACTCTTTCTGAACACACCTGTAGAGATGATTGCCTGGGCTGTTGAGGGATGAGGACTCCAACAAGGTGGAACACATCTCTTTGGCACACTTAATGATGGATTGTGGAATGCCAGCAATAATGATAGCTCACTCAGCAGAGCCGAGGAGCACATCCCCTGTATCCTGAACCTGAGTCCTGTACGCTTCTATCTCCAGCTTGCATCCCCCTTTTCCAATGAGAGAGCTGCATTGACTAGCAGGGCCAGTAGAACCCTTGTGCTGTTGGTCACAGAACCTCTGATCTCTCCCAGTTTGTCAATGATCTTAATGATCAAGCTCTGACAATGGGATGAATGAGTTCCAGTCAAAGTGATCATTCCCTCAAACAGCTCCCTTCTAAGATCTCCCTGTGTGCACTTGTCTCCTAGCTCATCTTCTTAACTGAGTCTCCTTTCTTTCCTATGCATAAGTACCCAGATGGGGAGAGCGACCACTTGCCATCACAACAAGTGTCCATATTGAGGAGTGTGGTGGGAAACTAGACTTGAAGTGGCCATGCCTTTGGTCACTAGCAATGGAGAAAGCCCCAAGCTACAGGTGTGGCTGAAGGGAAAGAGGGAGCAAGGTAAGATGAAGGAGGCCCCATGGGTGGGCAGAGGAAGAATACATGGTAGAATAGGAGAAAGGATGAGGATGGGGGGGAAGGGGGGAGGAGACCCTGGATGAGTTGGGGGCTGCAGAGGGTGGGCAAGAAGAGGGCTCGGGCTGTGGCTACTCCAGCTGGGGCTTCTGCTGGTCTCTTTGTTTTTACTTGTCTTAGTTGCTATCACACTTTCTGAAGCATTTCCAAACTGTGATTGAAGTTGTATTCATGCCGTTCACATCTGTCTTATCTCTCTCTTGTTTAACATCTCACTGAACTTCTCTAACACCTTGCATACAGCCTGTATTCCAGTAATAGATCACGATGTAAGATCTTTGTGAGTGTGTGTGTGTGTGTGTGTGTGTGTGTGTGTGTGAGTGTGTGTATGAGAGGGAGAAGGAGGGGGAGAGAGCGTACTGGGCTTGAATTTAGGGTCTCACAGTCTCACTTGGCTCCTTCCACCATTTGAGCCAGCCCTCCACTTCTGGATTTTTGCTTGTTAATTGCAGATTAGGAATTGCTTGGATTTA